TGGAAAGAGGCTCATTTATGTGACATTAGCGGGTGTTCAGTCAATGACGATTAATGACGAGGGGGGTGGTGAATAAAGGGTGATGGCTGTTAGCATGGGTCGAGGGAGAGAGGTGGTTAATAAGGGATGGTAGTTGTTATCAGGTGTCGTGGAGGAGGAGGAGGTTGAGAGAGGTCTACGGCAACAGTCATCAAGATATAAAGTAATGTGTAACAGGCAGCCACATATAAATAATATCAATAACCTTTGTAGATAAAAGGAGGTTGTGGAAAGACAAGGGAAATCATTATGTAGCACAGATATTAAGAGTACTGTACCATTACTAGGGGAAAATAAAATTACGAAAGTAGCAGTAGTTGTTGCTAATGGGAAAATGTGAGACGCATAAAAAGATAAAGAACTTTAAATGAAGAAAAGGAAAGGACAAAAATAAGAACCAAAAGAAATACATGAAAGAAAAGACCAAGAAGACGAGGCCAAGAAAAAAAAAGCGGATCATGATGACCGGTGATGATGTTCTTGGTGACGGTGGTCTCGTGAGCGTTGCTACCACTGCATACCTCAGCTGGACGTCGCTCGCACTACAACACTTGCTCCACATTATTACCCCAACAGCTGGACAAGGCACACCAACACGAGGCCACAATTACTTAAAGTGTCCAAGGAACCTCTCTGCCTCTCTTAACACAACCACTACCTACCACTCACCAATAGCAAGACCAAGCCAGAACCGCCCATTACTAAAAGGTACTGTTGCTTGTCCCGGGTGTAAATTTTACGAACACGCAATCTTTTCTAGCACCAGGCATCCGTCGAAAGCGGCATCCAGTTCTCAAACACCAGTAATATCAGGCACTGCTCTTTCCTGATACACAATCATCATTATTTTCACTGTGAGCCTCCAACAACTTAAATTTCACATCTTAACACCGTCATCACATTAACTAACACCCCAAGTCACTATCACATACCCCCTTAAATCGCCATCATTACACGTCGTCATTGCCACAGTTACCACTCCCTCGTCACCACCAGCAGTCACAGTCCCTCGTGTCACCATCCCCAGCCAGTGTCCCTCGTGTCACCATCCCCAGTCAGTCCTTCGTGTCACCATCCCCAGTCAGTGTCCCTCGTCCCACAATCCTGCCAGTGTCCCTCGTGTCACCATCCCCAGTCAGTGTCCCTCGTGTCACCATCCCCAGTTAGTGTACCTCGTGTCACCATCCCCAGTCAGTGTCCCTCGTGTCACCATCCTTAGTGTCCCTCGTCTCACCACCCCGGTGTCCTTCATGTCACCATTACCACCATAAAAGTCGATGGACATTCACCATCACCACCAATATCACCTTCCAACACCATTAACACTGTGACTGGACACTTGTCACAACACCCCCCCACCCACACCACACAACGACAATCACAGGAGTTCAGTAATGAATGCGTCCTTGACCTTTTGAAGGGAGGCAATAACAAGAGTGGGACGCTACAACCCCCTCCCCCATCGCCCCAAGCAACCAACGCCACTTCTACCCTCAATATGACCTAATGCCTCCTGGCTAGTGACGCTCACCAGGTTACCTCACGCCACGATCACCATTTGTAAATAACAAACACTGTCTCTAACACTCTACAGATAACAAACACTGTCTCTAACATTCTACAGATAACAAACACTGTCTCCAACACTCTACAGATAACAAACACTGTCTCTAATACTCTCCAGATAACAAACACTGTCTCTAACACTCTACAGATAACAAACACTGTCTCTAATACTCTACAGATAACAAACACTGTCTCTAATACTCTACAGATAACAAACACTGTCTCTAATACTCTCCAGATAACAAACACTGTCTCTAACACTCTACAGATAACAAACACTGTCTCTAATACTCTCCAGATAACAAACACTGTCTCTAACACTCTACAGATAACAAACACTGTCTCTAATACTCTCCAGATAACAAACACAGTCTCTAACACTCTACAGATAACAAACACTGTCTCTAACACTCCACAGATAACAAACACAGTCTCTAACACTCTACAGATAACAAACACTGTCTCTAATACTCTCCAGATAACAAACACTGTCTCTAACACTCTACAGATAACAAACACTGTCTCTAATACTCTACAGATAACAAACACTGTCTCTAATACTCTACAGATAACAAACACTGTCTCTAACACTCCACAGATAACAAACACAGTCTCTAACACTCTACAGATAACAAACACTGTCTCTAATACTCTCCAGATAACAAACACTGTCTCTAACACTCTACAGATAACAAACACTGTCTCTAATACTCTACAGATAACAAACACTGTCTCTAATACTCTACAGATAACAAACACTCTCACTCTCCAGATAACAAACACTGTCTCTAACACTCTACAGATAACAAACACTGTCTCTAATACTCTCCAGATAACAAACACTGTCTCTAACACTCTACAGATAACAAACACTGTCTCTAACACTCTACAGATAACAAACACAGTCTCTAACACTCTACAGATAACAAACACTGTCTCTAACACTCTACAGATAACAAACACTGTCTCTAACACTCTACAGATAACAAACACTGTCTCCAACACTCTCCAGATAACAAACACTGTCTCTAACACTCTCCAGATAACAAACACTGTCTCTAATACTCTACAGATAACAAACACTGTCTCTAACACTCTCCAGATAACAAACAGTCTCTAATACTCTACAGATAACAAACACTGTCTCTAACACTCTACAGATAACAAACAGTCTCTAACACTCTACAGATAACAAACACTGTCTCTAACACTCTCCAGATAACAAACACTGTCTCTAATACTCTACAGATAACAAACACTGTCTCTAACACTCTACAGATAACAAACAGTCTCTAACACTCTACAGATAACAAACAGTCTCTAACACTCTACAGATAACAAACACAGTCTCTAACACTCTACAGATAACAAACACTGTCTCTAACACTCTACAGATAACAAACAGTCTCTAACACTCTACAGATAACAAACACTGTCTCTAACACTCTACAGATAACAAACGCTGTCTCTAACACTCTACAGATAACAAACACTGTCTCTAACACTCTACAGATAACAAACACTGTCTCTAACACTCTACAGATAACAAACACTGTCTCTAATACTCTCCACAGTAGAAATATTGTAAGCAACACACCCCGGGGGCCTACATGCCACACGTCACCATTAACAATTTACATTAATCCACTAGCATTTATTAGCATCTGTGTACATGTAGAGGACTGGCGACGAAAATTATAAAGTAAAAATATGGATCAGAATGATATATAAAATCATACGGGAAAAGGGAAACGAGAGAGAGAGAGACATGGGCATGCATGTGTGGCGTGTGATTGGTGTTTATGATAATGTATTGGGTGCATGTATGGTATTGTGGAGTTTGCGTGTACGGCGCGTTTTATGTGCGTGTGGTGTGTTGTAGTGCGGGCATGGGGTACAGTTGGTGTGTGTGTGTGTGTAACGTTACCTGTGTGCAGTGTATGTGCAAATTAACGAAATGTGGTGTAATGTGGTGCATGTGTAATGTGATGCATGTGTAATGTGAGGTGAGGTACGGTGATGTGACACGTTGTGGTGAGGAATACCAAGTGATGCGTGGAGTATGGTGTAACATGTGACTATTTTTTTTAGAATGTGATGTGTGGTGTGATTGTGTAACGTGACGCGTGACTAAGATAGTGAGGTGAATTGCTATGTCTGAGTTCTGTGGTATGATGTGTGATGTGTATTTAATAAGATGTTAAATGGTGTGGCGTGTATGTGATACTTGTGGATAGTGTAAATGGATGTGTGTGGTGTGTGGGTGGTGGCATGTGTGTGGTGTGTGGGTGGTGGCATGTGTGTGGTGTGTGGGTGGTGGCATGTTTGGTGTGTGGGTGGTGGCATGTGTGTGGTGTAAGGGTGGTGGCATGTGTGTGGTGTAGGGGGGCATGTGCGTGGTGTAGGGGGGCATGTGCGTGGTGTAGGGGTGTGGCATGTGCGTGCGTGGTGGTGGCATGTGTGGTGTGGGGTGGTGGCATGTGTGGTGTAGGGGTGGTGCCATGTGTGTGGTGTGGCATGTGCGTGGTGTGGGGGGCATGTGCGTGGTGTAGGTGGTGCGTGGTGGTGTGGTGTGTGTGGTGTGGGGTGGTGGCATGTGTGGTGTAGGGGTGGTGGCGTGTGTGTGTGTAGGGGCATGTGCGTGGTGTGGGGTGGTGGCATGTATGTGGTGTAGGGGTGGTGGCATGTGTGTGGTGTAGGGGTGGTGGCGTGTGTGTGTGTGTAGGGGGCATGTGCGTGGTGTAGGGGTGGTGGTATGTGCGTGGTGTAGGGGTAATGGCATGTGCGTGGTGTAAGGGTGGTGTCATGAGTGGTGTGTGGGCGATGTGGTGTGTGTGTGTGGGAGGGGGGATATGATGGTGAACCTCACCACCTACAACCTGGTCTCTGAGGCGTATAAACGATCCTGCTCCTTCTCACCCCCCATGGCTTCCTGACCTTCACACTTTAATGTTAACACAAACATACTTGTAAATATGAATGACTGATTTTTACATTTTAAAAAACAACAAAAATAACAGTCGTATAATTTCGTATGTGTATTAGAAACATGTCTCCGCTTACGGAGCAAGTGTGACAAAGCTATGATGATTCACAAGTAAACTGTCATGGTAGACGACACCTAACAAGTCGATACATATCCTTAGAAGTCAATACAGAAGAGAATGAGTAGAATGAAGACTAGCGGCATATATAGTGTGATGAGCGGCAGTGGGGTAGAGAAGGGTGTGTTGTGCTCCTGCCCCACCACCAGGTAGGTGTTGTGTCCCGCTGCCACACCTTGGTGACGACCCCCCTCCCCCCACCCTCCCTATGCACTGTATCAAGGTACTGCCCGCCTCCGTCACGGACTACCGTCAAACGCGAGCGAGGAGATAGCACTGTGCGGCGCTCACCGGCGGAAGAGGGGCACTGGCACCCAGCGGTGAAGGAGGTCCAGGCGGCACTAGAGACAGGCTGCTGCTGCCACCACCAACACCAGCGACCACTGCTCCGGCGCGCGCGCAAATCTCACTCCCCTTCCACAAAGTCACCACAATTACGCCACCACCAACTTCAAATCACATACTCCATAAAGTACCATGTCCATTCACCATACCTTACTACTACTTTCCCTTTTCAACCATCTTTCAACTTTCATAACAGGTACTTACCCTATGAAGACACCACACTTTTAGCACGAGAATTCGTTACCAACCTGTTAGAGATAAAGGAAATATTTAATATTAATAATCATAAAAATTTTAGCTGGGAATAATACATGCAACTTGATATATACAGTACACTAAATTAAACATTTAATATACACCAACACATACACAACATCAAGTACAAATAATAATTATGTACAACACGAAAAACGGTAATTATACCAAATTCACTGCAGCATAGAACTGATATAGTATACTGTTTGCCCGCAACAATACTCTTGCAAAACAGATGAAAATAGGGACATTATCAGGTCTGAATACAAGGTCAAATTAAAGCCTGCTGCGACCTTGCTCTTGTGAATGTTTAAATATATCCACACAACAAGACGCCGAATTATATATATATATATATATATATATATATATATATATATATATATATATATATATATATATATATATATATATATATATATATATATATATATATAATATTTTTTTGGGGGGGAGGGGATGTGGAAATGGGGAGAAAATGCCATCACAGACCTTTAACCTCAACAGGTAAATGTCAAACTAAAGAGACTCGTCTCAATAAGATTTTCTTCAAAAATGTCAAGGACACACTCATGTGTACATTCCCCCTCCCCCGTTAACCTCGTGGTTATGACAGTATTGTACAGTACTGTAAATGCATCAAGGTACAGTACCTTGAAAATAAAATAATATTTTACGCATCGTGCTTAAGATGATAAAATTAGTAGTCCTCACCCTTTAACCTTCAACCAAGTTAATTTCTGACTGTCCTAGTTGAAGGTCCCACAGAACCCACTTTCGAAGCTAACCAGTATTATCTACTGTATATATCATATTAAAATTTGCAGATAAGTAATAAGGAAAGTAACATGCCAGCTACTTAAATGAGCAACGACGGACCGTCTTAACAGTTAAATAAATTAATCTCCGGGTCAGCAGTTAACTAGATATGCAGCTCACCATCACACCAGCTAGAGATGCAGCTCACCACCACAGGAACTAAAGATGCAACTCACCACCACACCAGTTTTAGAGATATAGCTCAACACCACTACATCAGCTAGAGATGCAGCTAACCACCACAGCAACTGGAGATGCAGCTCGCAACCACACGAGCTAGAGACGCAGCTCACCACCACCACCACACCAGCTAGAGATGTAACTCGACACCACCACATCAGCTAGAGATGCAGCTCACCACCACCACACCAGCTAGAGATGCAGCTCACCACACCAGCTAGAGATGCAGCTCACCACACCAGCTAGAGATGCAGCTCACTTCCACAACAGCTAGAGATGTAACTGAACACCACCACATCAGCTAGAGATGCAGCTCACCACCACCACACCAGCTAGAGATGCAGCTCACCACCACCACACCAGCTAGAGATGCAGCTCACCTCCACAACACCAGCTAGAGATGCAGCTCACCATCACTCCAGCTAGAGCTGTTCATGAACCATGCATCGCTTAAGTACACCTCACTTACCACCAATATATTTTTTTGCCGGTGGTGTGAGGCCTTTGACACGACCCCACTACCTACAGTAATGCCAGGTCATTATTACTAGCCGTAGGAGTTTGTGTGCACATGTTTGCGGCGGATATGAAAATCATATTACTGTAGTTTCAACATTAGCAGCTTAATATAACAAACTATTTAAGTTTTATTTTTTTCTGGAAAACATTAATAATAAAATACTTCGACCCTCGACAGCGATTCTCGTCTGTGTGTGTGATGATAATAATAATAATAATAATAATAATAATAATTATTATTATTATTATTCCTGGTTATTGAAAGAACATGGCAGCCGGAAGGCTGAAAATATAGTTGCATAATTGGGGAATGGGTCACTTGATTTACAAATAAAGTACAAGTAACATATGATACAAATATGATATATAATGACTAGGTGGGGTCATACTACAGCGCATTTCAACATAGTGACAGTGTAAAATGGCAAGATTGACTGGGAGTGAATACACTGGTTGATTACAAGTTATTGATAATTTTTACAATGGTTGGGACTGGGCTGTTCTTTTGAAATCAGTTCGTGCTCGTATGGGCAGGATGCGGTTGTGGTGTCAAACAGCAATTCTCGAACGAGGGATCTCGGGTGGTAGTAGGAGCCGGTGTCGAGGATGATGCAGAAGCTTCTCACCAAATTTGCAGATGAGGTCGTGGTGATGGTCAGAGAGAGCCGAGAGGGTCAGTGTGTGTGTGGTGACATTTCACTTGCAGCTAGTTACATAACCTTAGGACCACAATATACAAGGTATATGCAAAATGACTCTCATGCCCGTGGTCTCGGGCTTGACGTAGTTCCATCTTCGCTCATACTAGTTCCCTCCATTCAGGCGGCTGCCCTGTCAGTTCCACCCATTGTCTTGGGTTCCCACCTCCACATTTCTCTACATCCTCAACTCCATCTCTTCCACGCCTGCGCTTGACGCCGTCATTCCTCTTCTCCTTCCATAACTTTTCTTTTCTTACATGTGATGACCTTCGGGTCTTTGTGAATACATGTACTCTGATAGTAACTCATACCGGTGAGTTACCTAATTTAAAAACCACTGCATTAGATAAGTAACACGTGCGTAGTGTAGCTAACGTAGCCTTTGGTATGACACGGCCTGTTTGGTAAAATTCTTCCACAAATTTCTGCTCTATTCACAAAGTTAATGATACAAGTCTTGTTTTGCGTCATTTGGATTTATATGCACTTTATTTTTTCAGTAGCTAAACTTCTACATTCATATACCTAATTACAATTTCTTGTAACCAGTTAAATTGTACATGTTCTCATCTCCATATACTTCTGTTGGGACATACGCAGCTGAATGTTTTAACCATAATCAGTTCACACTTAACTAAACCAATCTCTCGTTCAGTGATTGGAACATTCCTAATCAGGCTAATCCCCGTAAAAAAATATATAATATTTTTAGTAATATACAAAATCCAACTCCAGGTCACTTTATTTCCATGAATATTTATACGTCTCTTTTGTACTTTACTATCATCTTCAATCACATTTCTTGCACACCCAGCACGATAAGCTGTTAATTTCAGGAACCAGTTTTTTAAAGGGAGTGTCCAAGTTATTTGTCCACTTCGTACCAGGTAGTCAACTTCTCATTCCGGGGCTTATTGTCTTGCTATAATAGTAGAGATAAGTTTATTTCTCTAGAAACCGGGCCGCCATTTGCAATGACATCACCAGTTTCCCAGCAGACGACGTTCTCCAACAAACTCACCGCTGCAGTCGGGTAGTACAAAGGCCCCAAATGCCACGTTCAGGTAAGTTTTTAAGTGTTTTTTTTTTTAAGTCATGGACATTTCGTAAGTGAAGACATCAGCCGTGAAGAGCAGCGTATGGACATAAAACACTCCCATGTGCACACAACTCAGCTGTCAGGGAAGACTTTTTTTTTCAGTGCATTAACAAAGTATATCAGTACTAGATGGAGATACGAATCAATTTAGAAGTAATGACATTTTCTGGACTTCGTTTTGAGAATACATTGGGATATATCACCATTTATATTAATTAATGGGTAAATTTTTACTTTAACTACCGTAAGTATTTGGATGTTTACAGTAGATTCGAGATAGGCTATATTGGGTAAATTTTAAGTTTTGGCCATCCCTGTACATAGACATGCAGACTGTGTTTTTTCCTGATGGTTTGCGATGTGTTATGAACGATTTTGACCTTCATTTCTATCGGAAATCACTAGTTTTGAGTTACCCCCTCTTATAACTCCTCATACCCTAACCTAACCTATGACCTGTATTTTTTTATGCGATCGAAAAATGTTTTGTAACAGAAATCCCGTAGAGATAATGTGTCTTATTGTTTAAAGTACTTTGGAATGTTTTAAGTACAAACTTGTAGTATGGGCAGCTAATATCCATTGAATTAGATAATGTGCTTAGTAATATTTATATATTCGATACAGCATTACTGTGTTGCACAGTAAAGCACAATTAATTATATAATATTTATTTACAGAGCCGATCAGCCGAGAAGGTTGGACACCTACTTCCAGGATTCATCAAGGCAAATGAAAGAAATTTACCCAAAGTAGATGTCATTATGATTGTAGAGTATTATCAAGAACTCCGCCATCCAGCTATGAAGAACGTTAACTTACATCTGTCATCTGATCATCTCTAGCCCATCCCCTGGCCATGGTCGTCCCTAGTCCTTCCACAACATTAAATATAGACATCAATGACGAAAACTTACATGTTGGAGTTTTCGGTCTTTTGCGTCATTTTGGCACCCAGCAAGTAAATACACACGATGATACTTGAGCAGTTATTTATTTTAACCTAAAAGTAAGGTATGCCTGTGTATATCAACATTGTATATGGCCACAAGTCCTGTATTTCTGCTGGTAACAACACAGACACCACAGCTGGCAGCCTGGAGGCTCCTGCTCGGCGGCTCTAGCCAACCTGTGACGTCACAACCAATCAGCTTTTCACAGTCACGTGACTTTTTAGCAACGGTAACCCTTATTTTTTTACACTTTTCGGCCCAATTTATTTTAAAATATCATTACCATGGTGAATTTAGGCGTTTTCTTTACCCATTGACTTGCCATCTTACGAAAAAATTCCGACCGATAACTCGTACATTATTTACGAGAAAGGAGTGACCGCCCTGTGCTCAACCCTCCCCAATTTATGCAGGTTTAGAACCGGCGTGAAAATTTACATAGTCTAATTTTTACCAAGCTTTATTAGTACCCCATAACACAAAAGACAAAATAATTAAAAAGAATCAACTAAAAAGAAACCGTCCCATCCATTCGTG